TGCGTTCACACCAAAAAGAGAACTTAGTTCATGAGAACTTTCCCCCCCTTTTCAGTCCCTGCTAGAGAGCAGGTACTTTCCTGGGGAGAAAAAAGTTCCAATTTCTGATTTGCTGGGCGAATTGCAAACCACGCCCCGTAATACCATTGTATTTGCTGGCATTAGCATTATTAGCATTAGCCCCGCGCACCAACGGAGAGAGAATAAGTTATGGCGACACAAAAGAAAACATGGGAGCGGTGGAGATGAGGAGGTGTCGGCGTTCTGGCGATTTACTCGGAAGGCTTCAGTAGAAGCTGCTGGGAGTCCCAGCAGCTTCTACTGAAGCCAGTCCCCAACTCCGGGGACTTCGGGTGGCAGTATAGAGTGCCACAGTGACGCGTCCTAAAACCCGGAAGTAAGTTAGCATTTTACCACTTCCGGCAAAAACCAATGCAATTTCTCCATAGGATTTTGGAAATAGCTCGAAATAAGGTCTGTGGTTGACACAAATTGAAGAGACAGATCACGTTTTGTTCAGCCGGATAATATCCACATGTCTACCCTACTTTTATAATTTTCGAATCATAAATCTAATCGATAGATTTATGATCGATAGATTGCGGCCTGCCAGTAAACCCAAAGCAGAAGAAGAAGTGACGTCAGCGGCTCCCTCTGTGACTTATTCCGGTTTGAACGTGATTTACTAGATAGTTCCAGGAAATAAAAATTCCGGGAACTATTCCTGGGAAAAGTATTTGGCGCCTTATAGCCGCTTTCACACCAAGTACTTTGCCGTACTTAGTTTCCAGCACTTAGTACCCCCATGGAACTAAAGAGCAGATTGTGTTCACACCGGAACAAGTCCCTAAGGGAGGGTTAGGCTAATTAAGCCGCTGACGTCACTTCTTCTTCTGCTTTGGGTTTACTGGCAGACCGCAAACAACTTCACGGTGTATACTGCCACCCGAAGTCCCCGGCCGGAAGTCCCCGGAGTTTACTTCCGAGTAAATCGCCAGAACGCCGACACCTCCTCATCACTCCACCGCTCCCATGTTTCAGAAAAAGGGGTGAAAAGGTTTGCGAAAAAAAGTTCTAGTTCCAGATCTTTTTGGTGTGAATGCAAAATCGGAACTATTCAAGGGAAAAGTACTCTCGGTGTGAAAGCGCCTAATGTAATGTAGACACAAAATAAAAATTAAACTAATATTTAGCGTAAATACAGCGTTATTGCATATGTGAATAATGCTAAAGATAATACAGTACAGTATAAAATGATTAAGGCTGAGATTTCAGATTATATTATGGCAGTACAAAATATACCAAATTTGAGTAGTATAGACAATCACGATAAATATTAATTTATAACTATAGACAAGTTAAAAAAACAATCTAGCTCAAATTGTTTTTGAATTTTAATACAGAGGACTATTTGTAGGCTACAAACTGTCAACAAAAATATAGCTCAAAAGCTAACAAACTGCTTTCCTCCAGTGTTCACTCTTTCAGGCACAAAACTAGGGGGACCAGGCGCCAATAAGCCACATGTGGGACAAAGAGTACGTCTGTGTGGAACAATGTGGGACATGTTACTGCATTGATAATAGCTAGTTTAGATTTAAATATAATGTCTATCAAACGCTTAAAAATAAACATTTATATTGAAACTATCAGCTTAATAATATTAAAAACAACGCTTAACTTCAGGTGAACAGTTTGTACTAACTATGCAAGGGAAGGAATTTCATATATTTGGTTTGAATGGGATTTTTTTTCCCAACAATTAAACTACTGTCAGTAAACATGTCCGTATATGTTTGCTATCTCTGAGTCTGGAAAAAGGAGCAGAGCTGGCCTACAATGTAAGACTTTGCTGTTAATATACTTTTTCTTAACAGTAATATAGTGTATTTATGTAATACGGTTGAGTAGACTACTGTAGTTGGCAAAGCTCAAATAACAGAAAAAAGTATGATAATGTTTTAAATGACAGTAGGCCTAAGCTCAATTATTTTTGAAAAGGGGGGCGCGGTCTTGCAGGGAGGATATCGGAGCTGGATAAAAAGTTTGAAAAGGAACAGGGCAGGCATAGTCTTTTAATTCTAAAATGTTCTGTCAAAGCGTGTTAGTTAACTTCATTTTGCGTTTGAAAATAGTTAAAAGCGGGAAATTATGTTCTAGTCGACGGGACTTTCTCATATGAACAGTTCTTCAAACGGAAGAGTAGCTCGCGCCACTTCAGAGGACTTTTGCTTCACAACAACAAGAAGTCTCGCCCTGCTTTCTGTTTCCCTCAGGCTGTGCATCTACAAATCAGACGGTAAATAAAAATAACCGTATCTATCCGGTATACTAAGTGTCCACTTAGGTAGCTTCTAGTGATGGGAATTCCGGCTCTTCTTGGTGAGCCGGATCATTTGGCTCGGCTCACCAAGAAGAGCCGGCTCTTTCGGCTCCCAAACGGCTCTTCAGTTTACCACATACCTTTTAATTAAATCAAATGTAGCCCTGTTTTGACTAATGATTTATATGTGTACACATATATCACTTACATTATTCAATACATCCTTTGTACTGAAGTATTCAAAAGTAAAAATTACATGTTTAATATAAATGATTTGCTGTGGCCAATTATTTTCATTGCATTTACAGACCCGTGTAACTCTCTGATACTACCCAATGAATGCATTGACTTGCTTGTAGAACCACGCTACACAAAACAGATAGCAACACCTATAAAAAACTATTTAAAAAAGGGGCTACTGTATCGACCTATATAAAGTATATAAATATCGTTTTTTTTTCAAAATACCAAAAAGATCCTGCATTTTAGCCATGCCTCATTTCGCTCTATTTGCTCTTTCCAGCTTTCTGTTTGCAGAGGCTGATTCTGTGAGCTGCAGCTGACCACGCCCCCCTGCAGGAGAGGGGAGCGTGCTTTGAGATCAGCTGCTGGGCTGTCAGAAGATCAATAATCATTTTCTAAATCCATAAAAGCATAAAAGCATTTCAATTAATATTGGGAGTCATGTCGTTACTTTGTTGAGAATGTGGCCATGTAATAAGCGGGATAATGTGCACATTGCATAATGTGCCTTCAAGCCGATCTAGATCCCTCCGCAAAAAAACAAACAAAAAACGGCTCGTTGGCGGGCGAGAGCCGGCTCCCGTCGTTCACTTAAAAGAGCTTACATCGTTCGCGACCGACACATCACTAGCTTCACCAAAAAGAATGTTTGAAATCCAACTGATAATTTCCTAGCTGTTTGCTAGTGGGTATGTGACTTTAAAATATCAATTATGAGACCAAGATATTAATATCAGAAAAGGTGTATATTTAAAAACACTTTACAGTAAACTTTTGTGTCAAATGCTAACTGTTTTGGATCATCTGTAACTTATCTTAAGGTTAGTAAAGGTTGTAGCTTGTTAGCTAGCTAACGTTAACTGATAGCCGTTGTTAAATAGCTATATTTACCACATAGGAACACTGAACAAAGTTGAAGGTTTGAATGGTGATGGGATAACTTCAAATAGAAACGTGGTTTAACTTTAAGAGGAGAAAAGGCTGATAGTGTTTGAATGACATTTTATTTGATTCAAACTTAATCAAATGTAATCAATTTAAAAATGTATTTATTTCAAGTAAATCCAGTCAGAGGGAAGGTTTCTCCAAGAAGACAGGTCAGACTGTCCAGAAGAAGTCCACTACCCGTCTCCACACCACTGAATAACCTCCTGGACTTTAAATGGGACTTCATACAGGTCGTTGAGTCTCTGAGTTTTGTAAGCTGATAATGCTACATAAGATTAATGATGATTTAAAGATGAATCTACTTCATCTTTATGAGCATTAAGTAGGCATTGTTATTGTACATTCCAGATTTTAATAATAATTTAGTTTTTTGTACTGTTTTACAGGAACAACAAAGAGCAAGGTGATGGTCATCTCTATCTGATACAGGAGATTCCTCTTTGAACCCGAACTGCACACTCTCCAGTAGGGCTGTACAATTAATCGTATTTTAATCGCGATTACGATTATGGCTTGCGACGATTATGAAAACAGCATAATTGACAAAATACGATTATTTTGCTGGGTGCGCTTTCACCCCTCCCTAAAAGCCCACTCGGCCACGTGGGAGTGACATGTGTTGTGAGTGTTCAGCGCGAGCGAAGATGTCAGAACAAGAGCAGCAACTCGTTAAAAAGAAGGGTCAAACTATTTCCACTATTTGGAAGTACTTTGTCATTACATTTCACATCGCTAAAGATATGTGCCCAGTTAGCACTGTTAGCAACCAGGGCTTTAAGCAACTTGTCAACACATTGGACAAGCGTTACGCGATGCCGTCTCGGTATTATTTCAGCAGGTCTGCGCTGCCTGCGCTATATGACAAATGCCGTGGGGAAGTTGAGAGAGATGTGGCTTCAGCTGACTACTTTGCTACCACAACAGACCTATGGTCTAGCCCAGGGGTGCCCAACCAGTCGATCGCGAGATGTGTCTAAAAATAGAACAACAATATTCTGTTTTATGTCCTGTAACATAATCTTCCTGTGCCAGAATAATGCACTTGAACGCATCAAAGCTTTGTGATTGGCCGGCGTCACCCCATGTGTTGGGGCGTGGCTGAGGGTCTTCAGTACAGGTGGCAATATCGTCACCTGCCTGCGCTCATCTCTGAAACCAGACCATGTAAACAGGCTGGTGTTTCTTGCAAAGCATCTTTAAGAGATGACATGAGCAGCCCTACCAGCATTTGCCATGGTGGCCTAAACATTTTTATTTGGTCTTAAATTGTAGTTCAACATTTATTTCCTGTTACTTCTGGACCATGACGGTTGGCCAGCCTTCAACGTTTAACTGAGTGGAATATGTTGAATATGTTTTACCAAAATGTTGGCTATATGTTAAGGAGTGTTCAGTAGGTTGTGACAGTGCACTGCAACATGTTTGATTTCATTTATTTTGGTCTAATTTATTTTTATTTATCATATTAATAATATATGTTTAGTATGGTTTTGGAAGTGCGCTCCAACATATTTGTTGATCTTGTTTATTGGTAAAATATTATTTGTTTTAAAGTTCAATAAATGGTCAATGAATAATCGTCAAAATAATCGTGATATCAATTATTGACCCAAATAATCGTGATTATGATTTTTGCCATAATCGCACAGCCCTACTCTCCAGGCACAGGACTCTTTTAAGAGGTAAAACACGTGACTTCTAAACATTATTTATTTCAGCTGCTGTTACCTTCTCTGTTTGTTTAACCTGTTTTGGTTATACAAATGCTGTGCAGTCCGCCACAAAGCGGGACACCTGGTCACCCTACACAAAACACAAGTTATTTTCCAGTGCAACAATTTGTCCTCAGGTTTTTTTAAATGTTTTACAATAGAACAAAGTAAACACTCTGTATTTGCTTTTCTTAAGGAGCGAGTCTTGTGGACCATAGCCCTTAAACTCTACACTGACAGAATGGCGGTTTAGAATAAACATGCATTCAAATAAGAGCAACCGCATCAGATCCGGCTGCCTTTAAAAACTCTATTACAGGATTATGAAATATATAATGGAGGCTGCTGAAAGCGGCTCAGTCTCTTTATCTTCCTCACTGCTGATCTGGCTTTGTGCACACGGGTTCTGTCGCTGAGGTAAAGCAGGTACAGGTAGATGTTGATTTCTAAGATGGCACTGCGTTATCAGTCACTGCGTGGTGTTTGGCAGTAGAACAGATTTCATGTTCCGCCCTTTTAGCAGCGATGTGTACAATGAATCGCAACAAATTCCCACACAAGAGGTTGTTTGTGTGCACAGAAAACAGAGCAGGTAATTTCGTACGAAAACCTATCGCTCAGACTTGACCTTGTAGCGGAGGACAAGGTAGGTGCCGAGCCGCAGGATGAGGAAGAAAATGCCCAGCACGATGAAATCCATGTAGAGCTTTGCGTCCTCTACGTCCAATAACTGCAGAACCTCTTCAGGCCGCTGGAACTTACACACCTTCCCTGGACACTCCAGTTCTGAGCGGTTCATCCCGTAGATGGACAGGATCACGCCTTCAAAGCCGTATCTGTGGGAGAGATACTAAACCTTAAGTCACATTCAGAATGGCTAAAGGTTTACTCAATCATCTGCAAAGTCTAAATAACAAAAAATGTAAGCAATGCCACAAATTAGCAATCCATTCTATCAGCTCAAATACGCCACAATATTCATAACATTCCACAATATGAAAGTTGTGGATGATAATAATATCAGGTTAAAAGAAATGATGTGAGGCTGTCAGGAAGAATCAAACCCAAGAACAAAGTTAAGTCAAATTTAACTATGAGCCTTAGACATTGTTTAATGGGCAACAATAGTGTGGGATTTAAAGTGATTCTTGGTTTTTTGATTTTTTTTCTTTCTATATGTCTTTTCTCCTAGTATCGTGTTTTGATTTACTTCCTGTTTTTTGTGGTTTCCCGCCTGTGTGATAGGATTGTGGTCACCTGCTGCCTTGTGTTTTTTCATGCCCGCTCCAGTTGTGTCTTGTCTTTGTGGTTAGTCTTTAGTGTATAAATGCTTCTCTTCCCTTAGGCCTGCACCACAAAGCAGAATTTAGGGTTAATGAGGTAACTTCAGGGTTAACTGAGTTTTCGGTACTATGACACTGGTTCACCTCTCACCAGGGTAGATTGCGATGGTAATTTATGCTGAACACCTAACCTGTGCCCTGTACTGCGAAGCCAGTTCAACAGACCCTGGATATCTTTGAGTTATCTGGCTTAACTAACCCTACCAAACGCGATTTCACTAAGCGGTCCTACGACGCTGGTTATCAACTCGGTAAATCCACCCAGGGTTTCTCTGTGCGTCTACAAGCGAGTTCACTTGAACGGGGCGGGGTTAGCAGCATTTGACCAATAACTAACATAGAGAAGAGAACTGACAGTGCAGCGTCATACTTCATGAATGAAGAGTGAACTATAATATTAGACAAGAAGTTCAACTTTATACATCATGACTCCACCGCATAATCCAGGATGAAAGCACCATGCAGCTGCAAAGTGCAGGAAGAACAGCTGGTTAAAAGAACTCTGAATGTGTGAGTGTGCGTAAATAAAAGGTTTATAACATTACTGCCCCATAGGCACGAGTGGATCTGACTCTAATAACATTTGAGTGTTTCGTCAATTTAATTTGTCGTTTAATTGCGTTTGTGTGCAATACAATAGAATATATTATTCATCCCCAAAAATAAATATGGATACATAATTTAAAATCTTAAAGACAGGGGTGGTGTATTAAACGTTCATCTAGGAACAATCTAATGGGCAGTGTTTATTTGTTCCGTCTGTTACATGTATTTCGGACTCGCACATCTCCTGAATGTGTGTGATTTTGTAATTTTTTTTATTTACATGTCTTAAAATGCCTCACTGCATTCATAAAAGTAGCAAATAAACTCTGCACATTAGATTATTCCTAGACGAACGTTTAATACACTGCTGCTGTCTTGAAGGTATCAAAATGAGCCTGTTAGCGCCATAAATTATGTTTTGTTACTCCACAAAAATTAAAACAACAAATTAAGTTGACGAAACACTCATGTTATTAAAATCAGATCCACTCGTGTCTATGGGGCAGTGATATTTGATATTATAAACCTTTTATTTACACACTCACACAGTCTTAGTTTTTTTTGCTGTTCTTCCTGCACTTTGCAGCTGCATGTTGCTTTAATCCTGGATTATGTGTTAATGTCATGGATTAATTCATTTTAACTTCTTCCATTTGTTTTATATTATAGATTTATTTTCATTCATGAAGTATGATGCTGAGTGAGGGAACAATGGAGCGTGAGATGGGCCGGAGAATCGGAGCAGCGGGAGCGGTACTGCAGTCGCTTTACCGCACCGTTGTGACGAAAAGGGAGCTGAGCCAGAAGGCAAAGCTCTCTGTCTACCGGGCCATTTTCGTTCCTACCCTCACCTATGGTCATGAAGGATGGGTCATGACCGAAAGAACGAGATCGCGGATACAAGCGGCCGAGATGGGTTTTCTCCGCAGGGTGGCTGGTGTCTCCCTTAGGGATAAGGTGAGAAGTTCGGTCATCAGGGAGGGACTCGGAGTTGAGCCGCTCCTCCTTCGCGTCGAAAGGAGCCAGTTGAGGTGGTTCGGGCACCTAGTTAGGATGCCACCTGGGCGCCTCCCTAGGGAGGTGTTCCAGGCACGTCCAGCTGGGAAGAGACCAAGGGGTAGACCTAGGACCAGGTGGAGGGATTATATCTCTTCGCTGGCCTGGGAGCGCCTTGGGATCCCCCAGTCAGAGCTGGTTGATGTCGCCAGGGAAAATAAAGTTTGGGGCTCTCTGCTGGAACTGCTACCCCCGCGACCCGACCACGGATAAGCGGGAGAAGATGGATGGATGGATGGAAGTATGATGCTGCGCCAGCGGCGCCGGATTCATTTCAGAAGTGGGGGGGGCTAAAAAGTGCGTGTTGTGACATACTTGCCAACCCTCCCGATTTTCGAGGGAGACTCCTGATTTCATTGCCCTCTCCCGGTTTCCTCCCGGGGTCATATTTACCCCGCATTTCTCCCGATTTCTGACTAAATCTGATTTGTGAGTCACGACCTGTTTCATCCTAACATAACGCTCCAAATGTTACTGTTTCCACTCGGACTTCAAAACAGCTACACCATTGTTTGGTTTCCATGGTAACGCGTCTCTTTAGTAGCCCCCGCAACTGAAAGTCTGAGAGGGTGTTCAGCATGGGGAGGAAGATAGTCACACGAAACAGAACAAGAATGGACAACTCTACCCTCTGCTCACTCCTTTCCTGTAAATTAAACTATACAGGTCCAGCCCACACATATGACAGCGCAGTTGCTCCATCATTCCATCACTTATTTTTTCCTGCTCAATACGCTCTTGTTTCACAAGCTGAATGTTGACTGGTGTTTGACTGAAGTAAGCGCACTTTTTTTAACACACTCTGTGGAAATGAGACTTTTCATGGCTGTCCAGGAGGCTTGGGCACTTTTTCCAGTTATTAACTCCGGTATTTACACATTTGGAGAAAGATACAAGCCGTTTGACTGCAGCAAATCTGCATATTTCACAGAAGGCTCGTTTAGTGGTTTTGCAAAGAATTAACCACTATCTGTTTTTGTACCATTCTGCTTTGAAGTACCTTTCTCTTTGCCCAAACGATCTGGCGGTCTCCTTTTTATCTACAATTAGCTGTGCAGCTTTACCCTTCTCAATGTCCCGACAACAAACCTCCATGCAGTCGGAACCAGCCTTTTTCAGTGCGCGGTCGCAGAGCTACTGCTTCGGGGTTCATCTCGCTGCGCTGGTTCTATGGTTGAAGGGCCAGGCTCCGGAGTTGTGGATGTCAGGGATGTGACATTGAAGTTGCTGAAGTTCAGTTTTGTTTGACTGTATTTTATTTTATTATGCGCTGGTTCTTCTGACATGTTTGCGATATCAATAGCTAAGTTTATCTATCTAGGTTAACGACTGACACAGAACAACGTAACAAAGAAACAAATCTAAGCTTTTTTATTGGTTGTAATGTACATGGATACATTTGAATGGTGTGACAATGTCCTCTTTGATTGGATTAAAATGTACATATTCTTCCTGTTATGTTTGCCTGCTTTATTTGACCTAATGCAATATATGAGCCTCTGTCGCTGCCTGTAGCTAATGAGATTGTCTTATCATCTCCTCAATTTGCAAAAATAACAAAATATACACAGCTAGATCAGATCGCGTTCTTTTTAGATGCGACTTTAGAGTAGAGGGGAATTATTGAAACGGGATGTATAGTGGTCCGCGGCATCCGCCGCTGCGAAAATGTGGGGCAGGGCTTCCGGTGTCCCTGCGCTGCGTTGTCAGTACTCTTCTCCAGGTTTGTGATTGGTCAAAGGCTGCTATACCGCCCCTTTCATGTGAACTCGCTTGTAGCCGGACAGAGAAACCTGGGTTGATTTACCGAGTTGATAACCGGCGTCGTAGGACCCCTTAACGAGATCGCGTTTGGTAGGGTTAGTTAAGCCAGATAACTCAAAGATATCCAGGGTCTTATGAACTGGCTCCATACTAAAGGCCTCTGGTATTCTTTTTCGTTTTTTGTCAATGTTTCCCCGGTGTGGCTCGTAGTTTCCTGTCTCCGTCTGATTCCTGGTTCTCCTCGTGTGCAGGGGCGGATCTACCGGGGTGGCATGGGGTGGCAACTGCCACCCTAAAAAATAGCCTTGCCACCCCAGCTGCCACCCCAGTTGGCATCTTTGTTTTGAAAGAAAAGTTGTGGCTGATCGGACATTTATGAGAGAAAATCTCTAATGTCCGAGTGCAACTGAATGCAGCACAAGACGCGAGTCTTGTAACCCCTCCCCCGGCCCTGGTGCGAGCTTGGAAATATGATTGGCGGCGATTTCATGTGAACGGGGGGACGGCGCAAAAGGAGAAGCATTCGGACTCAAGTAGACGGAAGGAATGAGGTATTTGCGATCTACAATGACAGAGAAGAGACTATCAAGTTTGGCTGTACTCAGTATTGAATCAAAACGCACTAAAGCTTTGGATCTTAATAAGTTTGTGAGGCGTTTTGCTGAACAAAATGGTAATCGCCGCATTCAGCTGTAATAGGCATGCCAACTTGATGCTCTGCTCACGGATGACTCAATGAGCATAAAAAACTGTTAAGATGATGACCTTGTATGTGTGTATATATTTTTTTCTTTGTGGGGGTCTGCCCCCAAAAAACTGTTTTAAGTCCTGAGAAAGTCAAATAAGACGTAAAACTACACTGCCCAGCCAAAAAATGTAACCACTTTGATTTAACTAGGCCAGTAGGTAAGGACTTTCCACTGGATAATAACTGCAGCGATGTATATGTTTGAGCAGAATTTGTTTTAACCCTAACTGATGCAGTTAGTCACTTATTTAATGTTTGTGCTTTCTGATGTAAAGTCAAGGTTGTAACTGTTAGCAGTAAAGTCGTGGGGCGCTGAACTGTTCCTTTGAATCTTTTGAATTTTGACACATGATATAATTACTTGTCTTTCAAATTTGAA